ATTTAGGAAACAAGCAATAAAATAAATTATGATAATTTGCAAACAAATTATTTATTTACTTATTTCATAAAATATTTTTTAGGCAAAACAAGTTTTGTTGAAAGAAATGGAAATTGTTAAACAAGGCATGAATCATGGTGAATTGTCATTAGATTCGTTCACTCAAGTGTGGGGCGAGTGCTTGGGTCAAGTATTATTTCTGCCTAATCAAAATCGTTATACAAGAGCCAATTTAGCTAGTAAAAAAGATAGAATTGAATCGCTAGAAAAAAAACTGGAACAGAATAGAGGTCATATGACTAAAGAAGCTAAAAAAGCTGGAAAAATGGAAAAGAAAATTAAAATTATTCTTGGGGGATATCAAGTATGTGATATAAACATTAAAACATGATAATTATGCTAACTTGAGTTTTAAATACAACAATTTGTTCATTTAGACCCGTTCTCAAGGTCTTATCAAACAATTCATAACTAGTGTGGATGAGATTGAACAAGGACATTTAGAATTATCAACTTTCCAGTTTTTGCAACGACAGGAAGAATCTGCTATACCAAAGCGACTACAGGTGATTTTAAATAGACCATTTTTCATTTGTTTATATTTTTGTGGTTCATATTTTTAAAATGTTTAGTATGTAATATAGCCAATAAAGTTAAACAAACATTTAATAATAATCACTATAAAAATATTAATCAGATTTTTTTTCTAATCGTAAATTATATTTTAGTCTTTAACTGATGATGTAGACCGTCAAAAAGAACGAGAGAAAATTCTACAACAAAAATTCTTGGATCTTGAAACACGATGGAAAGAATTACAAATTGGAAATGATTGACCATCAAACTTTTGTTAATATATAAGCTTATATGTGTATTATTATTTTTCAATTTATATTAAGTCTCTATTATATTTTCTGAAAATAGATTTTAAATTGTAAAGTCATGTGAGTAAAAAAAATTAATATAACTCTTGTCACGGTTATGTGTTCATTTCTCAAACAACTTGTATTTTATTATAATTTGAGATTAATCTTATTAAAACAACAAAATCTAGAGATTTTCTACTCTACATTGTTTTATGAGGTCTACCATAAAATATTATGATTCCAATCATTTTATGTATTGGCGTTAGCCGAAATGTCCTACATTTTTATGAGTAGGGAAAATATAACTAGCAATTTCTAAAATTGGTGTGAATTTACCCTTAATAAAAATTTAAACACAAAAAAATATAATATTTAACAATATTTATTTTGAATTTTTAATAAAAAATATTTAACAAAACAATAATTATTATTATTACCTAATTGTTCAATATTCAATCATGAATTTACCATTCTTCGCATTCATCAACTGATCCTGATAACTGTAAACACAAATAAATGCAATTTTATAATCAACAAATATTTAATAAGCTTAAATTTATAATTTATTATATTTGAAAAATTAAAAAAATTTTACAACATAGACAAATGTTTGTTTCGAATATTACTTCAATAGGTATTTTATTTTAATACAAAATGAGTAATGTACTACTTAGTAGTTAATATATTTAATTTATATTAATTATCAACTTAAAAATAAGCACATCATTTAAGTAAGAAAACCTATAGAACCCGGGATGGAACAGTGAAATAATGTTCAAGCCTAATTGTATACCATATTTTATTAATGCAAACAAAGCTTCCAAGTTAAAAAAAAAATCAATGTTTGACAATATAAATAATAATTTACATCCAGTATCAGACAAGAATAGCAATATATCACAATTACATAATCTGATAAATCCATTTAATTTTATTTAAATTCAGCTAGTAATATAGATACTATCCTTTGATTAATAATTAATCCAAACAAAATAAACATTTTTATCATGGTAACATTATCTTCTATAGTTACAGAATTAAAAATGTTATTTCTAACATAAATTAATGATATTAATTAATTAATGTTAAACTAACAAAATGTCCACACCACGGGTTCTACTACATATAGAAAATAATAATAAACATAATATAAATATTAGTTACAATTCTTATATCTGAGCCTCCAAATTTATCAAAATCAACATTAGCATCATTAAATTTGGATTCACGTCCAAGTTTAAGTAACCAATTAGGTATTTCTTGATTTGCCTAAATTAAAACATTTAAAAACGTATAAATGTGAATTTGATTTAAGAAAAAATATAAATATAATATTCATTACTGATGCAAGAGTATTTATAATTGGATCTATCAAAAGATGATCTTCATCAGGATCAAATAAAGAGGTAGCAATGCCTTGATTTCCCAGTCTACCTGTTCGTCCAATCCTTTGCACATACTCTTCAATTTCTTGAGGCATGTCATAATTAATGACATGGTTCACACATTTAATATCTAAAGATCCATAAATTAAAATTTATCAACACATTTTTGATAAAGTAATAAAAACGTTAAAACTACTGTATGCACTCACACTAAATGATTGGTATAGTGTCTTTTGTGAGAAGATTACCATGATAATTAAATTGTTAAGGTAAACTAAAAATACACAGAGTTTTCTATCAAATTAAACTTAACCTAAAAAAGTTAAATACATTTACCTAATCCTCTTGAAGCTACAGTAGTGGCTACAAGTACATTCATCTTTCCGTTACGAAAATCATTTAAAGCATTTTCTCTCTGATCTTGTAAACGATCACCATGTATACTTGTTGATGGAATATGTTTTTCGCATAAGTATGTGGCAAGGAAATCTGCAGTCCATTTTTGTTTTACAAATACTATAGTTCCTACTGAATCTACAAAAAAATAAATAATTAATCGTTTAATATTTTGTTTGTAATTATAAATTATAATCCATTCATTTTGTGAAAGAACCTGGTGGCAAACTTGTTCATAAGGGTATGTAAGACTTAACTACACTGTAGGCGTACCAATGAATGACTTTGTGGGATTATAGGCAGACCACAGCATGACTTAAAATATTGTTGCCACGGACTATATATTATACTGATTATATCATAGTTCGTGGATGCCATCAAGGTTCCTTCTTATAACATAAATAAAGTATAGATATTTTACTTAATTAATAAAATGTAAACCTTTTCTTAAAATATTGCATAAAATTTCACGTTTATTGAATCTATTAACCATGTAAAAGTTTTGTTTTATATCTTTTGAAGCACTACTTATAATACCAACTGCTAAAAATAAATAATTTTTGTTTAAATAATATTTTGCTAAATGCTGGGTGACATCTGGTAAAGTAGCTGACAACATAATTGTCTGTCTATTCATCTGGAAATTATAAACACTAGACATTCAATACTATACAAAAATTAATAATTCTTATATTTATCAATAAACTTACAACAGACGGCATTGAAAAATGATCCAAAACTTTATCAATATCCGGTTTTGAATCAATGTCTAACATCCTATCAACTTCATCCAAAACAAAAAATCTCAAAGATGAAAATGTTATGAAACCATGTTGAACAAATTCATTTAATCTACCTGGTGTCGCTACAAGTATGTGACAACCTTTCTAATATAAAAAATATTGGTTACATTTTTCATTATTTTATAATATACATTATCATCCATTACATATTGTCGTATGCTAAAACGGCCAATTAACAATATAATATAATGTATATGTAACATAAGAATACAATATTATAATATATAATATACAATAGGTTTGGAATGTAAGTGATAAAAATAGGTAGGGCCCAAAAAAATAAATAGTTAATTTTTTTATTTAAATACAACCACCCATGCAAGGAAATTCCTGCAGTTGCTGTCATAAGCCTAACTTAAGCCTTGATAGGACTTTATGCGACAGTCATACATATAGAGACAAACAGCTATCAGAAGGACCACTAAGGAATATTAACAGTAAACATATATCGTCGTACTTCAACTTAAAAAATTATGTTAACAGAGCTGGAAAAATTAAATTTTGGATAGTAATCATTAGTTTATAGTATCTGAAGGTAAGAAGTAATAATCGTAAACGTGCCTCACAACATTAACAGACATAATAATATGGTCTTCTAATTATTATTTAGAAGCATTATACTTACAAGAATTTTATCTTTTTGATGACTGACTAAAGTACCACCATAACAGACAAACAATGAGATTCCAGTACCTCTTGTTAATTTCAAAACAACCATTTTAATTTGAACAGCCAATTCTCTTGTAGGTGCCATTATAACAACTTGTGGTTCACTATGTACACTATCTTTTACTAAAATTTGTGGATTCATGAGTAATTTTTGTATGATTGGTAAAACATAAGCAACCTACAATTAATTTATAATAATTAATAAGCAACAAATTATTAACTAAGTGTCATAATTTTATTAATTTTTTTTTGGAGGAGGGAGGGCGCAAGTAATTATAAGATATAATTTTATGGGTTTATAAATATTTAAAAATAAATCATTATAACACAATAATATTATTATATGCAAAGAATGGATCAATCATAAATACTCTAATGTTACAAATTCATAACTTTATAAGTAATAATAGGGTTATCATACAATAACTATKAAAACATATTGCTGAAATGCTTTAATTTTAATTACATGAATTAGAATCTAGAAGTTTTTCAGCATAATATATATTGTTCTATAAAAACACAACAGACAATAACTATTCTGTTATCACTATAAATAATTTGAAGTACATAAATACAAATTTTTACATTTTATACTATTCAATTACCGTTTTTCCTGAACCAGTTTGCGCTGTGGCCATTAAGTCTTTACCAGATAAAATAATTGGAATAGAATATTTCTGAATGGGGGTTGGTTTCAAAAAATTACACTTTCTAATATTCTCCATTAGCTTTTCTGGTACATTGTTCAAGGTTTCAAAACTTTCAATAGGTTTGGGTACATTTTCCCCATTAACCTTCACTTCAATATCGTTGAACTTTTCAAAATTTATACCAGAACTGATTCCATCCTCATAAATAGATTCATCATTTTCATTGGGTTCAGGTGGGATGTAAATTGATCTAGCAGGCTTTTCATATTCATATTCCTGGTCTTGAAAACAAGATTTGTTAACAAGGTCTTGGTTATGTACCACCGCATTGCTCTTCATATCTTGTGACGACAATATTGATGATGACGATAAATTCTCAGATTTTCCATTACTGAGTCTTTGATTCATCTTTTTTATTAAAAATCCTCGTCCTCGGCATCGGGTTTTTGAAATATCATAATCTTCAGAAGTTTCATTAGCAATTGGTTCGTTGAGAGAATCCTAAATCAATCATAATATTATATTAGCGAAATAAAAACATATTTATTATTGAAACATTTATAGTCATACAAACCATATTCAACTGATGTTCAAATATTATTAAAGATTAGAGGAGGTAAGCATTGTTCATAAGTCAACTAGTCAACAGAAGTGTAACAATAACAATTCAGCATGGGTGGATGGAACGTTCAAAACTCTAAGGCTAATACCTAAAAACATAAATAATTTAAACCTTTAACGAACGTTAGTACCACATCAATCATTGACTCGTCTGAACGTGATAACAATAATAAAAGAATAAGATATCAACACTTCTTATCTTATACCACAGTACAAACACAGACTATATTTCATAATATTATAGTCTGTGGTACAAATTAAACCTTACACGCGACACAGAATTCTGTGATCGGGCGATTGTAATTTGTGAGCTCGACCGATTGTAATCGATTAGATTGTAGAATACGGTGGTTAGATAAAAATATAACGAAAGTAGTAATTTACCCGTGAGGCAAGGCTTCGTAGCCGCGTGTGGGGCTCTTTAAAAAATGTATAAATATAATATCGAGGGTAATCGGTCAAAAAGTCCGGTATGGAAATAGTTGGACAAAAAGTCCGGATTCATTTTTTGATTGCCGGACAAAAAGTCCGAACACATTTTTAGTGTCGGGACAAAACGTCCGAAAATACAAAATTGTCTAATTTGTCATCATTGTGTAATTATAATATTATATATATATATATATATATATATTTTTATATTTTCTTATTCTTATTATTTCTTATACCTAACATAAATACAACAGAAATTATCTAGATTTATATTATAATAGTGGTAATAACGCTATTGTAGCATGTAGATTGTAGGTATGATATTATGGTAGATAAGCTGTTGACGTACGGCTGCGATAAACATTAGATCCATATAGACCAACCTACCAAACTATAGCGGATTTCCGTAATATTTTTTTTAGGTATAAGAAATAATAAGAAATAAGAAAATATAAAAAAAAGTAGGTACAATGATATAATAATGTAATAAAAGTATTACAATTATATTTTTTAAATAAATAATAATTATATATGAACTGACTATATATATATAATATTACATGTGTATACTATATATATACCTACATAATAATATAATATAATATAATATAAGGTATATTATAATTATAAATGAAAATTGAATAGACAATTTTGTATTTTCAGACTTTTTGTCCGACACTAAAAATGTGTTCGGACGTTTTGTCCGGCAATCAAAAAATGAATCCAGACTGTTCGTCCGGGAATCAATGTCGAGACCCATAAATATAGGTTTTTTTTTTAAATGCAGAATACTCAGAATACTACGATTACAAAAAAAATAGAAGGTTGTTTGATTCCTGGACCGAACCAACCTGTGCGACTCTCTGAACATCATGGCTTGGTAACTTTAAAAAAAAAATGGCTCTTTCCTACGAAAAGGTTCCGGAACCCTGGTCCTGGCCGAAGGTTACTTTTTTGTTCTTGTTCCTGTTCAAAAATCAGAAACAGGTGGTAACTGTTTATCACAATACTGCCACCTATTCCTAGATCGTTTATTCACCAATAGCGATTTATACAAAAATGGTGGCCTCTAAGCATCCAGAAAAGCTGGTCTTCAGCCTATAGAAAACGACACTTTTATCCTACCCCACGACTACCCGTCCACCTCTCGACTGTCTGACGCGCTTTGCAGTCTCCTTTTGCTCGAATATCGTCTCCACCGACGTCTAAATCCGCCGACTCCTTGACATACCATATGAGAGGAGCTATCCTGTTCCAGCACTACCTGAGCTGGGTAAGTTATAATTTAAATCTATTTCTTCTATTATGACTAAAAAAATGGTTAAATAATGGTTATAATATTGCATATATTATGTATATTAATATCTTTATAAGTAACTGATTTTTAAAAATAGTCAATTTGCCGAGTCTTGTATTTTACTGTTATGTGTATTATAAAGTATTTAACAAACAATACTGCCCAGATATAGGTGATGGAAGATGTCCATTTAGTTATTTTGCTTGTAGCACAATGTAATAATAAAGTAACTTTTATTAATGTTATTTTAAAAACTGTTTGATTTGTATTTTGTAATTTTTAATTTTTAATTTGTATCATACAAATGCTGAGATTAAAACTAACAAATACATTTTCGTATATTTAATACATTTTTTGACTTTCAGATCATTTATAGATTCCACGAAGAAATGCAGGCTGTCGTGATGCAAAACGCTCATATAATGATATTGTGATTAGGTAAAACATAAATAATTATATAACTCAAAGTTGAAGCATATTGTATAGTTTCTAATACTATGAATGTAACTATTATGATATCATCAACCTATTTCAGAAGGTATATAATATCAAAGATTAAATCTAAAATGCAAGCAACTGTCATGTTTGTAGATATTATTAAAAAAAGAGTATTAAAATACTCTCAAAAAAAATGTTACCGCCATAAAAGTATGGGCCAATCAGAACCATTTTACTCACAACTCTAGTTTAGAAATAAAATTTAAGTAACCCTGGTTTTTATCTACTTCGTGATTCGTATATTGATAATGTATGATTATATGGTAAATAATTCACCATTCAGCATATTTTCAACAATAGTAATATTGCTGATCAATTGATTGTGTAAGATCAAGATCTTAGAGCAAGTCCAATAAATTATCGATGAAGTGTTAATACTGTAGTATTAACTATTAACCTGCTGAATTTAAATTTTTTACTAATTGTTTTGATAAAATATGTTATATTCAGATATACGTAGTAATTGTGACTGAAAAAACAAACAATATGCAATATTGAACTATAAAACATTGTACTAGTGATCAAGAATTTATATTTCAAATTATTGTGGATTGGTTGGAATCATAAAGTAATTTATTTCCGAATAGTAGTTAATATTAATTTATGACACAGTTTATTTTTGTGTATGAGGTATAAATTATTATAAATTTTATGGTTTTTAAATATTTCTTTAAAATTTTGTTTTAAAAATCTGCATGTTTATCACATTAAATCGTTTCTACTAAAACATTTAAGATTAAGTGACATACATATTTTGTTGTCTCCATATTAATTCAGTTTGGAAGTGAGTTATGAGCACTTTTAATTTTAAATTTATGTTATACCATGCACAGAAAACTTAATAAAAAATTGAACCATCCTAAAAAATCCACTTACAAACACCAGATATGTTCTTACCATCAAGTTTCATAATAGGTCGATTCACTATAATTTTTGAACTAACAAAACTACACATGATCCACTGACCACTGAGTGTGAATTTGATGTGTTACGTGTTTTTTATATGAAGACTTCAAATGCCTATGCAGTAGTGTCCTCTTAATTAAATTTTTTAAATTCTATTATAATTGCATTGGGTCTTGTAAATGTGTTAACTATAAAAAAAAATAGTAGTATATGATTACTAATATTTTAATAAGAACCACTATTTCATATTTTATTTATGTAACCAATATGTATATAATTTACATTTAACTTCTAGCTAATACTTATAGAAAAAACATTTATTTTATTTTTAGACTCTATATAATGGATGACAATGAAATGAATATTGCAACTTTTGTTGACTTTTTTGATTTTGAATTGCCTGGAAATGTATTCAACAGTGCCATTGCATTAGGTGATGTGGACAATGACAATGAAATTGAACTTGTTATTGGCAGTGTGGAAGGTGATTTGTTCATCTTTAAAGGTMATCGRCTGATYCAAAAAATTTCTGGATTAGGCATAATTACTGCAATAGCTATTGGAGACTTAATGAACTGTGGCAGTAACGCTTTAATTGTTATATCTGGTGATGGCTGGTGTCATATTTATTTGTGTTTAAAATTTAGTAAATTAGATGCATCTGATGAATGTATTATGAAACTTGAACCCGTTCACGATCAGCGAATTCCAGCAAACACTAAGGTAAATATTGAAAATTTAGTAAATTAAAATTGTTTTAGTATTGTAATTCATAATAATTGTAGGTGATTTTACTAGGGGATATAGATTCTGATGGAATGTTGGAACTAATTGTTGGTTTAACTGACAGAGTGGTACGTTCCTATCGTTGGAGTCAGAGTGCGGCTGCTGGACGATTAGTACCATTACATAAATGGGAGTGTGCTAACCAAATTGGATCTATTATATTGACTAAAGACGATAAAAATCGACCATTTTTACTTGTTTCTCAACCTGGTGTCAGTGCAATGCGTTTTTATTGTCCCATAGCTTTTCCAGAATTAATGTAAGCCTTTCTAAAATAATTCATGTTTRTATATAGTTTTATTGATAATTTATTTTATTACAGYGAAAAGACAATTGAGTATGAAAATGAAAATGAATTGCCCGTAGAACTTCTTAATCCTTTAATATCTTCAGTAATGGTAGGAGATCTCAAAGTAGATGAGAAATGTGATCAAGAACTGTTTGATAAAAATGATCATTTATATGGAATTGCTTCTTTAAATGGTTTAGTAATGTTGGCGAAAAAAGAAACAATTTTGTGGTAATATTTTATTGATAATTAATATTGTATTATTGTTATAGTTTGTAATTTATATTCATTGTTGAGTAAGTTATGTTACTAGCTTCTTAATTAAAAGGTATAGTAATCTATAGATTACTTTTCTACACAAAAATACAAAATAGGTTGTGTTACCTAATTTTTTTGAACTCAATCTTATTAATTAGTTACAATGTTACTTTCCACTTTTTTAATTAATTAAAATTAAACTAACATAAAATGACAAAATTTAAATCAAATTATTTATGCGTGTAAATATTTTCTTTATTTAATATTTATCCTATAGTTTTAATAATGTATCTCTAAAATTATGGTTACTTATTATTTATTAATTTATGGTGTTAACACCTCCAGCAATACTATTAATAGCTTCTACATAAGTGCATAAAAAGTGCAATATGTATTAAGTTTAGAAATTTTAGTTTTGTTGTTGGTAAACAATTTAATATTTTTAAATGGCTTAAATAAAAAGTATTATTATTATAAGAAGGCTCAATTTAACATTTTTACCCATTACATTTAGCTAAAGAATTTAATTAAATAGGAATTTTTACGGAACCGTTAAAAATATAACTGTTTATCTAACAAGATTTATTATTAAATAATTAATGTTACTCTGCATTATTTCAATTGATAAATAACAAATTAAGGTTTGTTATTGACTATTGTTACTCAAAAAAAAAAAAAAAAACAAGAAATTATTGTTACTTTACTACTTTCTACCCAAAGCTGCTTATATTTAATGTATATTCAATTTTTTGGGTTTCTAGGAGTAAAAACATTGATCAAGAACTGTTCATCATAAGTAAATTGTCTATARCAGATGGTGGTCCTGATTATTTAATAACATGTTCATTGAATGGAGATACTCTTATTTTGGATCAGAAAAGTCAACATGCAATATTTAAGTTTGAAGAATCAGTTTCTGCGTTTTGTTGTGGAATGTATACAGTAAAAYYAAATACAAAATCTATGCCTAGTTTTGTGTTTATAACTAATTCACAGAAGGTATATATTTTTTTATTTCTTAATAATATTTTGGATGCAACTCTTAAGTATATTGACTAATAATTAGACTTAAAAAAAAAATTCCTTTACATTATTTTAGATAAAAAATAATTTTGCAATGCATATAAAAATTGCATCTTTATAATTTAATATTGTACTTCTATTCATAAAATGTTATACCATATTTTTTAGGTTTATATTTATTATGGTTTAAAATTACCTAATACATGTGTCCAGAGCTTATCAAAATGTATTGAAAATGAAAATCAGCTTTCAACATTTATGGAAAAGTACAAAGAACCATTAAAAAGAAAAATCATTAGAGACTGTCTTTATAAATATAATCCTAATAAAATGTAATATACAGTTTTCTCTTAAGATATATTTTGTTTTACAATGTTTTTGAAAGAGATTTTTTAAATTCAATTTAAAATATCACTTAATAATTACTGGTATTTTTTTTATTTCTGGTATTTAATGAATAATAGAACTTATTAAATTGTAAAAATATATAAATTCAACAACTTTTTAAATTATCTAATTTTAAAACTGGCCAGCCTTTTTATTTTAGAAATTACATCAGTACTATCAATCAATTTAGTCTAGCAAAATACTAATATTAATCCCTAGTCTTGTGAATGGTAGCCTACAGCATAATAATAATTTACTGTTAAATATCTTAGATCACTATTTGTTCGCTATGTGCTCCTGTATAAACTATGTATACTGCAGTATTATATGTATATTACCGAGACATATGCTTAACTATGTTTATTGATTAACTTTTCTAAAATTAATAATATTGTGGTTACTTCAATTCTGTCAGAAGAAATATAACAATGTCCGCATCACCTCTGATTTTCATACAAGTATAATGTGTATAGTTGTCTATGATTACAGTATACGAGTATAATATAATAATTAATAGCCCATAGACACATAATATATATAATGATATATTCATGGCACATTTAAAATACTAATGGCATAAAAAATAGGTACAGAATAAATTAAAAACATGTGAAGAATATTTAAGTGGAAAAAACGTTACAATGTTTTTATTTTTTTTGACAGTAATGGCATATACTATACAATATTTAAGCTAATATTTGTAATTTTAAAGTAAAATATATTTGTTGTTCTTTTTTCCTAGGTTCGTCATTATTCTATAAAAGACGATTAAGAGGACGCTACACCCGCATACGTTGTCTCCGTCTTACAAGTGCGTAACATAGCAAATTTTATGCTCAGCAGATCACGTTTAGCTCCGTTAGTTTAAAATTTAGAGTAAATTGACCTCTTACAAAAATTAAAGGTAGCATTATTATCGAGGGCATGACGAAGGCTTTTTATTATATTTTAATTTTAAATTGAGTTATGGGTATTTTAAAATTTAAAATTGTTTGTATATCTTAAAATACACATAACTCACTTTAAAATTAAAATATAATAAAAAGCCTACGTCATGCCCTCGATAATAATGTTACBTTTAWTTTTTGTAAGARRTCAATTTACTCTAAATTTTAAACTAACGGAGCTAAACGTGATCTGCTGAGCATAAAATTTGCTATGTTACGCACTTGTAAGACGGAGACAACGTATGCGGGTGTAGCGTCCTCTTAATCCATTTTAAATCGCCCTGTACATAATATAGTCATTAGTCTGTAAAGTCTGTTCCTGGTTTTAGTGTTATTTTTAATTCAATATCTAAAATATTAATTTATTTAATGGTTATAACTATATCAAAAATCTACTAATTAATATAATACGTAATTAATAACGATTACAACATTTTATTCCACGGTTTTAAAATTTCAAAAAATAGCACTAAAATTAAAGACCAATTAAAATGGTTGTGTCATGGTTCCAATCTGTTATCTATGGTTCCAATATTATTATGTCAATGAACAGTGATTACGGTTGTAAATAATATTGTAAGCACGGACTACAACAACAACACTGGACTGGGAACGTCATTGGAGGCGGGTGACGGGGACCCATAGAGTAATTACTCTATGCGGGGACCGGCCCGCTTAGTCAGTCTGTGTCCGCGAGAGAGGTGTTGAAAGGGAAATAGTACATGAGCTAATCTAGCTCAGCCTGGCTTACCACAGGCATACTACCAATTTCTTCAAACGATAAACATAAGCGTAACGTAGTCCGTGCTTTAGAGTTTATAGGAATGTTCGTGTGGAATATAATATATGACAATATTATGTTATAGTTATGTGCTTATTATAATATAATATTTATGTAGGTTTATTTGACGGGAATGGTTTATCATTAAAGTATAGATGGCGCCAGATTCGCTCATGTACGATTCCCCCTCGTACACCTCTCTCGCGGACACTAAGAGGTCCGGCGGTAAACGTCTCGCTTCCAGTCCAGTGTAGTAGTCCGTGATTGTAAGTATCACTATTGTGTTTACGGACGACCCACACTGGTCACTCATTATACAAGAACAATAAACAGTGATTATAGTCCGTGTCCCGCTCAAATTTTATCACTTGACTACTTGAGAGTTGAGACTTGATTCTCGTTACTCGTTAGCGATATGCATTATGCTGCCAAATTCCAATTTCCAACGTGTCTTGCGGCAAGCGTCGACCATAATATATATTATTGTTGTACATCACTATTCACTACATCAGTTTTACAATAAATCTACAGCCATGATATTATTATGGTTTATAGGTCTCGGGTGATGAATGATGACCGCCATAATTGATATTGTATTATTGTGGTCTAATTTTATACAATAATACGACGGTCAGAAATATTCTTCCACGCCCGCGATAACACTGGAATGTGCCGACTGTGGATAATATTATACAAAATGCGCTTCTAAGTTCTAATTAATCAACTAAATTTAGTTCCGATTGTTTTGTGTCTTTGTAGTTCAACCTGGGTATTTACCATCGTTAAGACTGCTATGTTTTATATTAATAATGTTGTAGTTTAGCGCTTATGACTTTAGAGGCAACTATTTTTAAATCATTTATTCAAACCAATATATTATCGTTTAATTTTAATAATCATTCGTATAAATCTACAAATGGCGAATCGCGATTCGATTTTCAGTTTTCGCTTTTAACTCTCAGTATTTTCAGGCATTTAGACAGATTTTAAAAAATTCCCATTCAGCATTCATTGCGATTATTGTGATGTTTTTGAAGCACACGTGTACAATTATGGTTATTTGTTACTGAATGTGAGACTATAATAGACCCGTATTTTTGGCTACTGCGCGAAAGAACAGAAGTAAGTATGTATTTCATATTTTAATATCGTCATCAATATTTTGGTATATCGCATTTATTATTTCGTCTTATTAAAGCAACTGATCGATTGCAAAACACTATACAACTGTCGGTTATTTAATAGTAGGTGGGTAGGTACCTATATTTTCAATTTTGTAATCGACTTAAGGCTGTGCTTGGAAATAAATCGTCTTCCGAATCGATAAGTCTAACATTTCTATCGCAAATAACATGTATCTAAATTATATGATTTATGTTTAAGTAAATATTTTTGTATTTAACGGAATGCCGGTTATATATTTTATATTATACATCTGCTATTTCATGTTAAAATTCATTTTAAGCCAGGGTAATTTAATAATGAACTTTGTTGAGGGTACCTAAACTTCATTTTGCATTTTTTAATAAAAAAATAATTGTATAGTGATCTGAACTCCAACTCAAATGTTTTGTCTTCTATAATTTACTCGCCGAGTTGTACCTAGGTATATGAATATATTTGATTTTTCATTTAGATAGATATATAGAATTTTAAATTCTGTGTATTTTTGAGATTAGTATTTTCTGTTACTAATCACTAATAATTGTTTAAACAATTATTTAGTATGAATTATACATTTTACTAATATATTCCTATGTAAAAAAAGCTCAAAAGCCTATCGGTGAGAAAATGACCAACTTGATATATAACTACTTATTGGTGTTAGTATGGTACATTATAATACCGCATTGTGGTATAGGACAGTTAGATAGATAATTTTCATAAATCTAATTGATTTATTTAACTTGGGTCCATTAAGTATTTGATTTTAGGTTGCTTTGATGCTTATCAATTGAGTTATTGACTATAAATAGTTTATATTTTAGAAATGCAAATTTTTTGTTTTAAGTTTTGCGTCTCATATTAACAGCCCTAGAGATAACAGAAATTTTCCATTTGTCTCGCTTCTGTACTTTTCTTTTCAATTTTTATCATGTTTCACTGCCTAATCCTTGATTATTCAGCTTATGTATTCATGGACTTATTCATTTGTTATACAATCTATCCGACTGATTTTATAAATTATCCTCCAACACCATGCATATTTTAAAAGTAGTCATAATTTTGGTCATAATTCTTTAAAATAGATATATTATGAAATTTATTTGCCAAACAGTCTATCAAAGTAACCATTTTGTAAAGCTGATTAAAATTATGGGACATGATATCTGGAAATGCTTATGCAACATTAATTTTATTAATTAATTATATTATATTAATTTTAACCATATGTACCGATAACATTTTTAATTCAATAAACGAAACACGACAAAAAAATGTCATTTTATTACATAAAAAAATTATAATAATTTTATTATAAGCAGCATGTATGTGAGACAACTACATTAATTCTACACTAATAACATTTTTGTTAATTTTTTTCAGAATATAACAACTGAATAAATTATGAATAAATCATTAGTTCCTCAAAAGTTTACTAATAATGACCTTTATATCACTCATGCTGAATTTCAAGGATGTTTCATAAAAGTTTGGGCAAACTTTTACTCCCAAAAGAGAACAAATTTAGAAAAAAACGTACAAAACTATGAAAATTATTCAAGGGTATAAATATTAATTAATTAAATTATTTTGATATTCTGATAATATATTTCACTTTTTAAAGGAATGTAATACATTGGACTTATTTGGAAACAAGTTATATGTATATACTTGGAAAAATGACTATGAATCAAGAGTTTATAGATGTCGGATTATATATACAGATTTAGTAGCCAAAACTCACACTATAGTCCTTATAGATTATGGCAGGACTATGGTGGCTTCATATTTTGATGTAAGAGAAGTAATCCAAGATGTAGATCCATCTTTTTTAATTGATTTGTGTCAAAGAGCTACAGTATACACATTTTTGCTGAGTACATACATAAGTAAACCAAAATCAAACAATGAATTAGTTAATATTTTATGCAATAAATATTACAAATATCGAAGAGATTTTGAAGTTGGTGGAATCACATTTATATCATTATTTGGTGTTGACAAAGTTTTAGTTGACAAAGGCATAGCAGATAATATTAATTTGGCTACAATGATCACCATTGCTAAAAGTTTGGAATCAACAATTGAGTTTAATAATAAAAACGACACGATCAACCATTTCCCAATTAATAGTAAACCTTTTAGCTTTGGTTCTTTTCTACGATCTCAACGTTTAGATTATGTTACTTTGATAAACATAAGCGTCACTAAAGTTGTTATAGACAACATTTCAATTCTATTAACGGTTCGGACACTTGTAAGTATATTAATGCAATACAGTAGTAGTTCTTAAAAAAGATTTTGAATGTACTATTATGCTAAATATTAGTGGAAAATAGAAGCTTATTCTACTTTATTTCTAATTGGCATTTAGACAAAATTATTATTTTTAGTATTTGAGTTTGTATATTTCTCACCTATAATAATTATTCATAACAATCTTAAATAATGTGAAAATTATTTCACCTTACCTATAAAAAAAAAAGACAGATTAGAAAGTTAATTAATATTAAGTGCCATATTTATGAAATTATAATGAAAATTAAATATTAAAAATATATAAAGTTTATAGGTAGATAAAACATTAAAACGTAAATATGCCTACTATAAAATATAAAAACAAATTAATTTCCAAGAATGCATTTAATTTATTTTTTATTTTTTTTATTTTAGGATAATGAATCTGAAGCATTAACCAATATGTTAAATTCAATTGATAGGCAAAATTTAAAATTAGCACCTGTTCTTGAAGTTTATACTCCTTGTTTGATTGTTTTACATAACAAATTGGTTAGAGCTATAATCTTAGAAGTAAAAATAGATAAATTGTATATTGATCTAGTTGATTATGGAATTAAAGAATTGGTGCCTAGGACTGCAGTCTTTGAAATACCTTCTAAGTAAGTTAATATATTTAGTTACTAATACTTCAGTAGTACCTAATTATTAGGGAACGGATTTTATTGCAATAAAAAATCAAAATATGTACTTATTTTTATTGAAATATGTATAAAAAAAAAATCAAATAATGTAATAACCACTTAACTGAAAAAATAAGTATCTAAAGTAAGTATAAAAATCTTATCTCTTATCTAATTATTAAAAATGCGAAACTACATATTCTCTAAGATTTGAAAATGTAAAATGTTAGCGATTTGGTCTTTAAATGTTTTTGTATTGACTGAATGAATGTTCCACACAACTGACGTAATGATACCATATTTCATATTAAGTGGACGCCACACCCGCATGTGTTGTCTCCGTCTTACAAACTTATAACATAACAAAATCTGTTTAGCGCGGGACAACTTTACTCCCTTTGTATTTATAGTAGAATTTCCGAAATTCTACAACGTATAGGGGAGAATATTATCTGTGCAATATCGTCATTATTTTTTTGATAACATAAGTACACTTTAAGTTATCAGTTTGAGAACATAAGTTTATTCATTTAATTATTGTATATTATTGGTTAGTGCTATCAAAAAAAATAATGACGCAAGTGCATAGATAATATTCTCCCCTATACGTTGTGGAATTTTGGTAATTCTACTATAAATACAAAGGGAGTAAAGTTGTCCCGYGCTAAACAGATTTTGYTATRTTATACGTTTGTAAGACGGAGACAACACATGCGGGTGTGGCGTCCTCTTAACTACATCAAATGATGTGGGTTTTACATCCAATAATTCTGTTGGATTGGATTTAGTCCTTGGTGAATATCTCTAATTATTTTTTTGTTTTTTGCTATCACATATTTACATTTTTTTTTTACTACATTTCCATGAGACCCTAACATTTTTCTAATTTGTTTTGTGATTCTTCAACAATGCATAAACTTTCTGATAAGGACATATTTCGAGTTTCCAGTTGTATGAATTAAATAACCAAAATTAGCAGAAATGTATTATTTTCCTTCAAAAATATTTACATGGTATAAAGTACGTAAGTCCATTTAGAAAACGTAGATAATATTTATCGTCATTAAAAATTACAAATATTATTTTAGGCTCGACAGCGTATATATAGACCATAGGTATGTGAATGCCATTCAGATAAGGCAAATAATCTTTGATGTCGTAAATTGGTGAAAAAACCACAAATACCCATATTTTTACGAAATATTCAGTTATTTACTAAATATGTGAATATATGTATTTTCACTTAAATATGTAAAATAAAATTGGGCTTATTTTAATAAGAATGATCTGAATCGTGCTCATTTTTTATCAGATTAAAAATATCTCATTCCATTAAAAATATGTATTTACAATAAAATCCGTTCCCTAATAATTATATAATTATATTTATAATAACTTTTGTATGCTATATTTTAGTTGCTTTTTAATTGAAATGCGATCTTTGAATGTGATAGTAGACAAGCCGAAAGATACTATTGTAGATCAAAATATGTTTATTCATAAATATTTTCAAATGTTACCATTGAAAATTGATCCTAATTTTGGTTTATACAAAGTTAAGTTATTTAAAAAAAATAACGAAGAGCATATTGATGTATGCAAAGCTTCAAACAATACATATGATTCAATATCTTCAAAGTCGCAAGAAATTTTTTCAATAACAGAGATAAGTGTATGTATTCAGTTTTTAAATACTTTTTATGTAATACTAGGTAACAGAAAGTGTCTAGTAATAAATGAACCTACAATTAATTACTAGTTATTAACAATAATTAAGATGAAAATTAATGCAACATTTTTCTTCATAAATCTAACATAACTGTATTTTTGAAACTCGTGGTTTCAAATCAAATTATATTTTGGTTTTATAATGGCTTGTTTTTAAATTTTTATAATCATTTAATCTTTAATATTTTTTTAAGCAATTAAACACAAAATATATTGTTTTATTTGTTACTATAGTGCAATTATTTAATTATACAAGTGTATACTTGACTAATGAAAAAAAAAATTAAAGAATTTTGCCTATTTTTAAGCATATAATTAATTTATTGATTATTTTTGAATATTTATCTAATTTTTCAGAAAACATTAGTTGAATATTTGTTGTTTTTTAAAGAATATTAGCATCATATTTCAGGTATTTTAAGAAAGTTTAAATTCTGACTTGAGTTATAGTAATTACTATAAGTTGTGAATTTAATGTAAAATAAAGTTCTACTTTGTTTTGTTTTTTTATATTTAACACTATATAATAAATAAATAAATGTTTTAAATAGTAATTTAATTAATTTGAAATACAAAAAAAGTATTTATATATTSATATGTAGTAATAATTATTAACTATTTTTATTGAAATTAATATGATTTAGGCACTTAGCCAACATTTTTTAAAGATTGTTCAAAATAATATTTAAATACAACCTGAGAAATCATATTACTTAAAGAATTAAGAAATGTATTGCAAATTTTGAGTGTTTGAATTAAATTTTATAAAAACTAGCTTATCTCTGTACACTTTGTTGCCCGTTAAAAATACCAATTATATGATTAAAAATTAGTGTTCAATTCGTTGTTTTATACTCGGCTATGTTCAAAACTTCCCCTTGATTTACCCTGCCTTAATCATAATTTAAAGATTTTTAAAGCAGTCATATATGATACAAGACTAAAATTATATTTAATCATAACATTTTTATCACATTTTTAGCTGTATAAAATTATGAATCAATTTTAAAATTGGTATCAATAGCAAATTGTTAATTTCTTATTCATCTAGACTAAATTGTACAACCAATTGCAACTCCATTATAAACGAAAATATATTTATATTTATTATATTTTATCTATTATTTCTATACTCCATGCCACGAGAGAAGGAACCCGTTTTGCGCATGCAGACTGACGGCAGTTAGCAGTATTGGGTTCCGTTTCCCCCACTTTGTCCTCTACAGTTGGCGCTGTGGCGTGCATACACGCACGAATTCGATTGCGTTTTGGTTGGGACACGGGTTCCTTCTCTCGTGGCACGGAGCATATAAAAAATCTCACATTTGTATAAAAAATTAAGTCCCATTTATCAAGATAGTCTATAGATCCATGGGAAGTGTAGCCTTCTGGTGGTAAAAAACAAATTTTAATCAGTTTAGTAGTTCCAATTTTTCTTCTTTGTATTATATAACTTAACACTGATATGGGTTGAATTATGAAAAAATGCTTATAGTTTATGACACTCACAAATAATATGGCTTTCTGTTGGAAAAAGAATTTTCAAAATTGGTTCAGTTGATTCAGAGATAACCCCTAACAACGTCGCAAACATCTTCTCTTAATATAATAGTCTAAATATATTTAAAATATAATATATAAATCACTTTTAAAAGTTAAAAAGTTTTTTTATTAAATCAAGTTTCATGAATGCATTTATATTTACAGGATGAGATTAAAAGCATTGAAAATTGTACAACTCCAATAAATCATTTTAATGTAAGTAGAATGTCCTGTTTTAGATATATTATTATTCTTATAATGAATTGATTTTACAATGATGTATTTTGTGTGTGTGTGTGTGTGTGTGTACACAACGAGTAGTCAAAATAATGCATTGATTTTCAACTCAGAAACTTTTTCGATAATGAAGCCAATCCAGTTCGTATATCGAAGAAGTCTATATTTTTAACCAGCAATAATTTTTAAAAGTGTAGGGAAAGAGAATAAATTAAGGAAAATAGGGATTTATACGCAAAATCAGATGTTGACAAAATCGATTTTGGTGTAACTCTAAAACTAACTATTGTAGATGCATGAAATTTTCACTGAATGTTTATATTAGCATTTGCTATACACTATACAATTTTAAACTATTTACGAACTCTTAGTTTTAATTTTTTTTTTTTCTATAAATTACAATAAAAATTTTATTAGTTATACTTTTTTCGTATACAATTATATTATATCATTGAATCCAAATTAAATACCTCCCCCTAACCTAACCTACTTTTTCGCTTTTTATAATATTTTACAATATGAACTTGGTGCCCTACAATCTCAAGTATAATATTTGGTATTTATTTACATTAACTTTTTATAATGATAATCATTTAATTACATCAGCCATGTAATTTATATATTTATTTTTCTGACATATGATTAGCATATTATGTTATGTATTCTTCTAATTATTTAAACTTAATAATTTTATCAGACAAATCATAATGAACTAGTACCAACTAAATAAAGTGTTGATAGCATGGTTTATGAGTATTCCAGGAGGTGTCAAGCACCTTCGAATTTTTGAACAAATGATTTAAAAACATATATATATATATATAAATAATTTATTTATGAGGTAATAGGATACTCAATCATTCTTAATCAATATTTGCAAAACATATATTTTATAACTTCTACTAGTTCCATTTCTTCTGTTTATCGGCTATTACAGTGAAACCTCCTTTCACGGACACCTCCAAATAACGGACGGTGAAATGTGTACTCACTGTATTTCCCCTCTTAATAGTGGACAACGTTTAAACGACCAAGAGTGTCCGGTATTTAGAAGTTTCACTGTATTAAAGTTACGGCAGTCCACAGGGCACAAACAGATACTAGTATTTAAATATTTTTGTCACTTATACAAAATGGTAATTGGTAATTAAGTGCATTTAGAATTAATTTTGCATTAAAATCATTGGCTAATAAGTAATTACCTATTATTAGTTTGCACCATTTCCAATCAATATATTTTTTATTTATTTTTATATTAATATTGTTTTTGCAAAGTTGTCTAACAGGCTTTTAGTGGCTTGATTATCTTGAATATTATCAACTACAGTTAATTGCCGGCCTACTATGTATTATAAGAATTGTAAATTAATTTATTAATATTGACATTAATGCTACCTAACATATGTCATATATTTGTGCATTATATGTCATTGTTTGTGTTGTGCTTAATTATAAGTTGAGAAGAAATAATAACAAAATATTTGACTATCAAAATTTGGTGTGTAAAGTATGTAAATGGAGGGAGGAAAGAAAGGAGAGTTATTTTATGTGACAAATAAAAATCATGTCAATCAACTGTTATTTTTTGAAAAATATCGATTTATAACATTATATATGAAACTCTTTTGATTAGAAAATATAAATGTATACATTTACACATGCTTGTCATTTTAGTATACATTGATTTAAAAATGAACTGCCTATTATACACTAATTGTAACATCGCCTGTAAGACTAAGGCATTCTTAGTTAAGTATGGGTGTGAGGTATTCACAGCACCTACAAATAGCACTTATTATATTTTAAAAACACGATCCTTATAATTGGTAGTAATGTATTCAAACTTCATTTGGTCATTTTTACAATGTTCAATAAGGTTTAAATTGTAATGATTATTTGTTTTTGTTGGTTAAATACTTTTTCAAAAACCTTTACATTTCTGTACAGTAATTTTTTTTCATTCTATATTTCAGGGAATTCAAATAGAAAATGAAATAGTAAGCAAAAATTCGAAAATTAAAGAAAGCTCAGATTCAGAAATTAAAGAAATCATAGATCTGGAAGTGGTGGAAAAAGAACCAGAAGTTACAAGACAAGTGAGTTGACAATATCTTAAAATTTTACATTTGATGATAGAATTTATTGTGGCACATGTACTAAAAACTCACTTAACATGTATCACAATTAACAATTAATCTAAAAATAACATTTATATTAAGCAAAAAAACAATCAAAACAAAAAGTCGATTTCAATCAATTAAATCAGATTGATCCTACCTTTTATAGTAAGTTGGCGGCCAATTATATACATTTATAAACACTAATGGAGAGTGGGGGTGCCAAAAGAAAAAAATATTCTTATTTGTATTATATTTTCTAACAAATATATAACAATATAATACACAAGTTATCATATTATAGAATATGTATAGATATTAGATAAGTATTGCTTTTGTTCTATCTCCATAGTCTAATTTTTTTTAATTGATCACATTTATATAGTACTAAAATTATTAAATAAATGTCTTATAAAAAGCAAAAAAAAGCTTGATGGGGTCACGGGTTGGATCACCCTAATTTAAATAATGGAGTGGTTGAGTGGTCTGAAGTAGTTTACTTTAGCATCTTTCTGGGTATGCTGCTTTATCTTGATTTTTCAATTAATAAATAAACTTTTTGGTACATTAAAAAAACATCTATTGTCCCTTAATGATATTAATGTTTTTCATAAATCTTTTATTACTACTAGTACTTAAGTGGTGTAGTAAAAAAATGAAAAAAATAATTTTTGAAAAAAAATGTATCCATAAATTATTTAAATCAACATGATCCCACCTACTATATTGAATTTTCCAAACTAAGATCACAATGCAAAAAAGAATCTAAATAAAATTATAGAGATAATATCAATATTATTCAATATCACAACCCTAAGTCTTTCTGGAGCTACATTAAAAATTTAAAAACAATATTAGTAAATCAAATGGCTCTGGAATAGCTAAATTGTTTAAGGATTACTTTAGTTCTGTTTACTTTATGGATACCCCAGATTTAAATAATTATTCCTCTTAGTTACCTAATGTGATAAATTTACTGAATATACAGACCCCACTGACAGAAATATTTTTAGGATTGGACAGTTTAAGTACTAATTAGTAAGTAGTAGTAATCCTGGTCTAGATAAAATTCCAGAAATTGTCCTCAAATCATGTGAATATGTTCTGTCAATACCAATACGCATCCTTTTTAACTGGTCTTTATCAAGTGGATTATATCCTTTATCTCAGAAGTTGAGTTACATTGTGCCTGTACTCAAGTCTGGCCCTAAAAATAATATATCTAATTTCAGACTGATCTCCAAACTTTTTTCCTTACCTATAAACTCTTCAAAAAACTTTTAGAACCCTTCTTATCTTAACCATTTAAAAAACTATTCAGTTTAAATCAACATGGTTTTAGATTTCGATGGTCTACTGAAACTAATTTACTATACTTCTATACTAATTAACTTGAACCAGTTGAAAAAGGTTTTCAGGTCGATGTCATTTATACTGACTTCCTGAAAGTATTTGACACTGTAAACCGTATAATTCTTATACAAAAGTTAAAATAAATTGGCTTTTTTGGCAATTTATTAAAATGGTTTGAATCATATCTAGTTAATCAACAAGTTAAAGTAAATGATTAATGGTTATATATCATCTAAATGCAATGTAACATCTTGTGTCCCACAATTTTGACATATATCCCCTAGGTTATTTTTAATAATCTTATTCAATATCGATACAAGTTTCAAATCTTGCCAATTTAAACTCTTTGCTGATGACTTGAAACTTTATCAAAGCCTGTGTCAGTGATTGGTTGACTCTACAAGAATACCTAAATAGACTTCTTAATTGATGTATTGTAAATAAATTAAAGCTCAATATCTTGAAATGTTCAAAAATTACTTTGTGTCGTACAAAAAATTAAATTAACTTTAATTATTCAATTACCTAATGATGTTATACTTCCTAATGTTACTACTATTCATAGTCTTGGTATTACATTCCAATCTTCTTTATTATTTTCCACTCACATTGACCAAATTTGTTTAAAAGCTCTAAAACCCCTTGGATTTTTGATTAGATCTACTTCATCTTTTACTGATATTTATTGTCTTAACCTCTTAACTCCCTTTTCTGTTCCCTGGTCTGATCAATATTGTAGTATGAGTCTATTGTATAGTGTCCATTGTCGACATGGTATATTGTAAAGATCGAAAGTATGCATAGAAGATTTTTGAGATTTATTTGTTTTAAAAAAAATATTCAATTATGAAAATGATAATAATATAAATTATATTAAAACTATCCTTAATCTCAGTCCTTTATTTATTCGTCATAAAGAAGATGATATTTCCTCCTTATCTAAATTTATTAATGGTAAAATTACATGTTCCTCTCTTAGAACGTATTTCTTTAAATGTTCCTCAATATTACTCTCAAAATTGCTCTACATTCTATATTAAAATCCACCGTACTTATTATGGATTTAATAATCCCTTAGATAGAATTTTAAGGATGAGAAATTAAGCCAGAATTAATTTCTTTAATTTGTAAGTATCCACCATACATTTATGACTTAGTGGTTATCTAAATTCTTATTTATTATAACTTCTTAATTGTAATTTAAGAAATCTTATTATAAGGTAAGATTATGTAAGTATAGAACGTATGTCATATGTTATTTTATTTTGGTATGTTATTATTAGAAATGTTAAGAACCATAATATTTGAGGTCGTACCAAACTTTTCTTTAAATTAACAAACCTACACACTTTTAATCGAACTCGAACCGAATCAAACTCATCAAATATTTTATCAAACTTGAACTAAACATTAAAAGTTAAATTGGATATTATTTTATTTAATATTTATTTATTTATTTATTTATCATTTAGCCACCATACCTCAGAGTTATTGAATAAAGATTTTACTACTATTTACTTAAATACTTTAATACCTAGTTAATAATTATTATGCATGAGATTTTTAATTTTTAATTATTAATATGATGATAACTGATAAGAAAAAGCGAAAAGCATTAATATTTAAAACAAGCTAACATTAAAGAACTAATATATATTAATCTATTAATTATTCATTATTTAATAATAATTTATAATTTTAGCTGTTACTCCATCGACTTTTATTTTTATTTCTCTGGTTCGATTATCAAACGGAACTATTAGATATTTTGTTCAGTTCGATTACTTCAATTTGGAATTTCCAGTTCGGTTTTCAAACTGAACCGAATACTCAGAGTTTGGTTCGGTTTGAAAATCGAACAGTTTGTAACATCTCTAGTTATTATATATATATTCTGCTGTACTAAAGCCATCTTAGACGTTTATCTAAATACATAAATAATTTAATTATGTAAAATATGTATTCTTACTTCTTAGACTACACTATAAATCATCTTTCTATACTATCTTATATAAGAGTAATCTCTGGTAAAGGGGAGGCTTCTGCGGATGGAAATGAATGCCGCGCTTACATGAATATCTTTTAATTATTCGAATGTCCACTTTGCTGACATTTTGGTAATATTAACAGAGTAAACCAATTTTATGACATGAGTACTAGTTAATTTGATTACTGGTGATGTATACTGATTTAATATATGGCATAGTTTGTAAATTAGCTACTTAAATAAATCATCCCTTATATGATATAATATTTTTTTCAGGTATTTCCAATAATGGTTTTAAAGAAAGAAACTTTAAATGAGGCACAAGAAATTATTGGTTCATTGATTCATTACAAATCACCATTTGACTTTAGTGTGAGACTATACAATCCAAATTTTGAACCTCATATGGATCATATTAAATCCGTTTTAGACTCTCGTTGTGTTTTAAAAAAATACGATCTTGTGAAAAATATGTATGTTATTTGTCAGATTCAATCAGATTCTATATATCGTGCTAAAATAATTGATATGGATTCTAAAATTGAAAGTTAGTTACTTTGATTTAATTATTGTGTTCAATATGTTGTAACTACTTAGCCAAAAATAATTTTATTTATTTGTTATAGATATAAAATTACAATTAATTGATGAAGGAGATAAAATAATCAATGAATATTTTGACAAAATCATATTGTACAATTTTGTTGAAAGTGATTGTAATGTACCTGGGCAATTAGTAATGCATTGCTCATTATATGACATGTGGTTCCCCGTTATAAATACTGATACTACGTTAATGTTACAACCACACTTTAAAATAAGTAAACTGTATAAGGTATTGATCGTAAAAACTAACGAATCTGGTACTAAAGTAGTGCAGTTGATTCATAAAGATACCAATGTGGATGTTTCGAATGCTATACTTCAGTCAGGAATTGGGCAACGTTTAAATGCTGCTATGAAAACTGGTATAATTTATAATATACATTTTTAAAGTGTCTTCTATTGTATACTAAATTGTAGATTTTATTTTGAAACTAATCATTTGCAATTTAATATTAATATTACTACAACTAGGTATTGTAAAGATAAGTATGATCCATTTTGGGTTAATGTTATGATACTACTAACCATAACAGTGATACAGATGTTATAAGCATTTTAGGAGATATTATTGATGGACATTTGAAATAGAATAATCATATTGATTATATTTCCTTTTCTTACTTATTAGATGACTTTTTTTTAAAACTTAAACTGTTTGAAATATATAGTTAAACATTAACAATCTAAGATTCCATACTTAGCATTAGCACACATTTTTGCTTTAATCATATGCAATTTTTGTATGGGGTAGAATAAACTAAACTGGTTTGCATAAATTAAAAGTTGTGGTAAACATTTAAATTAAAATCATATTTAATAAAGATCTTTCTCTCAGCTATCCAACTGTATTATTATTTTGGTATTTTTAATATTATTGGACTTAATTTTCTAAAATTATTTACTCCAATTATTAATATCAGCAGCTAACCATACAGCATGCACACAGTACTAAATCTAAACAGTTATTCAATTCAAACAGATCAGAAAAGTGTAATTTTTTTATAACTGCTGTATGCAGAAAACTTATTATCAATTTAAGTCATATCAAAACATTCAATTAAAGACAATTAATTAATTTCATACTCTTTAAATTCAAATAATATGTACATCTAATAATCTTAATATTTATATTCTTTTTGTAGTTTTTAATGTATATTTGTATTGTAGATAACAAACTTGCAATGCACATATTCCATGCTTATTGGGGAAGTGTCAATATATTCACTTTTTTTTGTAATACTAATGTAATTGACAAATAAAACAAATAATTATTATTATATTATATTTTTCAACATAGAACTAACAAATTAGTATAACTTAAGAAACTTAAGAAGTTTAATTAATTGAAAACAATTTTTAACTGGAATTTTATTTTAATAGATGAAAATCCATATGAAGAAAACCTATTAATCGGTCAATGTTTTCTATCATATGTCTATAATTACCATTTAAAAATTAGAATTCAACCAGAACCAAATACTGTTGATGAATTAGAAGACGAAATTGCAAAACACATTAATGAAAACCCTGTTAGTTCACTTATGTTTGCTAATAATGACTTATGTTTAATTGTTATAATTTAACCTTGATTTGTTTAATTTGTAATGCATACAGGACTCTGAATTAATGGATATCAATCACTTACAAAATACATATTGTTTGGCAACTGTTGATAACAAGCATTGGTATAGAGCTTATATTAAAAACATAAATGAAGAGTCCATCATAGTTAACATGTTCGATATTGGTTTATTGACTGATGTTTCATTAAATCAGGTTTTTGCTTTATTAATATTTTATTAAATCAAAAATTGTTTCTATTTATTTATAACCAGTGCTCAAAACTTCATGCATCTGCATATTCAAAATTTGATTTGATACAAATTTGTTCCATAATTCAATTAAAGTATAAAAATGCATATTGCATATTTTAATGATAAATGTTTAAAAAAAATGATATTTTAAAGGAGCACACGACACAAAAAAAAATTCTTTAAATTATTTTTAAATGTTAAATTATTGTATCTATGGCTATATGAAATGATTTGGTGAAAATCTGATGCAAAAAAAATTATTACTTTAAGAGATATTATAAAATGTTTAATAGCGGCATGACATCATTGGGCCCTACTCTTCGTAATCGCCTATCTTAAACGTGTAAAAGTTCCTCACTTCTCACAACGATTTACCCACCTAAACATTTTATTTTTGAAAGTTTATTTACATATAAATGTGTGGTTTTGTGTGTTTAAGATGATGCAAGAATCATAATTTCTATATGACGTTTAGTTTTTTAAATATTTAAAATCTTAAAAGTGATATTTTTGTTAAACGGCGCTCCATGGTGATTTAAATACGAAATAAAAATTCAAAAATTTCTCTTTTAAGATTTTAAATATTTAAAATACTAAACGTCATATAAAAAATTCTGATTCTTGCGTCGTCTTAAACACACAAAACCACATATTTATACGTGAATTAAATTTCAAAAATAAAATGTTCAGGTGGTTAATCGTGAGAAGTGAGGAACTTTTACACGTATAAGATAGGCGATTACGAAGAGTAGGGCCCAATTACGTCACGCGTCTTTTTTCAATTGCCCATAAGCATAACTTATTGAATAATGTGAGTAGAAACGTAAAACCTATACCATTATGCTTATAATTCAACATTCTTTCAAATAAAAAAAACTTATTTTTTGTGTTGTGTGCTCCTTTAATAATTTATTATGCAGATTTTATGTATATTAATGAATATTATGTTTATAATTTATTATAAATGAACAACAGATAAATTTTCAATTCTATGCCGATTGTTAATTATAAATTTATTTTTGTTGGATATTTTTTCAATTAAAAAATTATATCCATTAATATTAGGAGCAAGTACAAAAAAAAATTGATAAAACTGTTAAAATTGTAGCTGTTGTAAAAAAGGATACCATACTTTATGAATAATTATGCTTTTTATTATTTCTTTTATAAAAACATCTTAGCCAGGCTTGAGCCTTGAATATAACCTAAAAATTAAATCGTAAACTCATATTTTACTTATTTCTATTATCAACTGAGTTTAGATAGCTCAAGGGAGATAAAAATAGATTGGCTTGGGTATATTTTGAGTTACACATATGTATTTTTAAAACAGTTCAAGAATATGAAAAAAATTTAATTTGCCAAGATAAGATTGAAAAAAATTTAATTTAGTTATCTTAAAAATAAAATTCATGACTGTTTAGATTCGACCAATTACTAGTAATTTATTGAGAAGACCTCAACTTTGTTTAAATTGTCACTTGGAAAGTAAAGACTTGGACATCAAAATTACTGAAAAAACATTGTATAAAATAACAGTAAAATCTATTGATCCCAAAGGAATGTAAGTTGATATATTTTGGAATTATGTTTAAATATTTTTTGAAAACAGTTATCTATCTTTAATTTTTGTTAAACACATAAAAATTATAAAAATTACTTTTCACATTTTAGATTTTGAGCGGAGCAATGAATGTATTAATTTTACATTGAATTATGTTTTTTTATATAGTTCTTTTTTCTTCAGTAGCTTTTTTGATTTAAAAATGAATCTAAATGATTTAATGGCAAACTCAAATTTTGAAATTCTCAGTAATTTTCAAAAGCAATGGAGAAATTTTACGCAAAATCAATTACAAATAACTGTTGAAACTTACACCATCTGTTTATTTTACATATCTAAATATCTATATCTATACTTGATAAAATTTTTAAATTATTTATAGATATTTGAAGTTTTCCGCTGTTTTAGTTTTTTTTTTCTATAAATGTCAATAAAATTGTATTCATTAATACAAGGTTCCACATAATTAGTTAATTCTGTGACAAAAAAATCCAAAATCAATACAAACACATACATAATGAATCTAATTTGCTTAATTTGGAATTTATTTTTATCACAATTTTTTTTTTTAATAATAGCTTTATAATTAATATAGTATAACTTATACTATTACAGTCTTATACTGTATAAGACTAAAATATCCTAAACTGACAAATCTTCTTCGCTCAGAATCGTTTTTCATATACAATGATATATCATTGAATTCAAATTTATTACCATCCATTACAGTAACCCACTTGTAAACTTCTGTACAGCAGAGCGACATCCACTTACCCATTTTTTTTAATTTTGTAACTAAACTTTTTAACAGAATTGCGCAGATTTTATTATGATTTGAATATGTTTAACTATGAAATAAATTTTATAAATTATAAACTGCTTTCTTAAAATATAACAATTTTGATAACATATATATTTCTGAAATCTTAACATCTTTTCTATTTGAGTTATTAGAAAATATATTATATAATTAAAAGGGATTCTATTATTTTAGAATTCTTTTTATCGGTAAAATCTATATGATGAAAATTAAAAACTAACTGGTTTATAATAGTTATTTTACAATTTTACAATTGAATTGTATTTGTTACGATTTAATATTTTTTGATTTTCTAGGTTATGTATAAGTATAAAAGAACATTATTCTGTTCCACTTTCCACTCCAATTGTTCGGGGTATTGAGAAAATATCATTTTTACACGTTGATGGTGATTTGACTTACATGCAGAGATCTCAAGATATATCAATGGTTGAAAAAATATCTGAAAATCTATCAAAACTTTCTGGTAAATTAGGAAGCAAAACTTCCATAGTACCGGGAGACATAACCATGTTTGAAAGCCATGGTAAATATTATAGATGTGTAGTTAAATCAATTAATTCCAAATTGGCAGTTGTACATTGCATTGACTTTGGTTATGAAAAGCAAATAGAAAAGAAAAAGTTGCAATGTTTAGGCCATACTAAAATTGCATTGTTACCAGCACTCGTCATCACTGTTAAAACATTTCCAATGGCATGTAACATGTCTAGAACAATGTTCCTAGCTAATATGCATGTAGACCACAATGGAACACTTAATGCGTTGCCGAACAAAATGACACCAGTGCAATCTCAAAACAAATTAATGGAAACCCTTGAAAATGGTTGTGTAGTGAGAGTCACATGTATTAACTCAAGCAGTGACTGTTGGATTGTTCCTCATTTACTTAATGAAAAGCTAGAGATTATTTCTGAGGTTCTTATGAAAATGCAATCAAAAATGATACCAGCTATAACTGAAATTGGTTCAATGTGTGCTGCATTACATTCAGTAACCAAAAAATGGCACAGAGCTTTGATATTGGATGTTGATGGAAGTTCTGAAAATGTTTTGGCAATAGATTCAGGTGAAAAATTCAAAGCGTTGAAAACCACTAAATTAGTTAGTGAAATTCAAAAAATACCAAATTGTGCCTTGCACTGTCAAGTTGTGTCAAATGTTGATATTAATACACTTTTAAACAGAGATGTTGAATGTAAGCTGATGTCTTATACTCAATCGCTACTTGAGGTGAAATTAATTGCAAATTACATCAACGAACCTGAAGTTACTTCTACTGTGTCATCTATGGAGTGGTATATTGCCATCAATAGGTTTGAATCATTCAACGAGTTCTATGTAAAAAAAGTTGATTATGAATGTGGTTCAAATAATAATAATGTTGAAACACAATTAAATTATATTGCTAATAACTTAGAAGATTTTCCAAAGCCACCACCTATTGGTACATTAGTGGCAGCATTGACTGATAAAAATAATGGTTTATGGTATAAAGCTGAAGTGTTGAATCCCATTAAAACAAATCTAGTTGTTCGGATCATTAGTGATGGCACTGTTTGTAAAGCAATACAATTAAAAGTTCTCCCATGTATCTTTAGTGATGAAAAATTGTACTTTCGCTGTTGCCTAGATCAAGAAATTGTGGATGTTAACATAAATGATCCCTTAAATTTTGATATTATCTCAGATATGATGACAAAATATAAATGGATTATGACAACAACAAGTAACACTGAACCATATAAAGTGACATTGACTTATGATGGTGTAGATTGTTTAGATATGTTATATACAGTTTTAACTATAGATCACCATGACACTTCTAACAACAGTAAAATGTCTGAAAGTAGGCCCATTTTGAGCAACATTGAACTTAATGGCGATCATGCAAAACCAACTTTGGAAAATCCCTTAAATAACATTCCTGAGAAAAAAATTCATGAAATTGATTTGGTTATACCTGAAGTAGAAATAGTGGTTATAAAATATGTTGAGACATTCCAATATTTTTATGTGCACTCTGAGAGTCTGTCAATGTTGTATATGAAACGAATCTCTGAAGACCTAGATTTGAGCATAGTTGAATTATCTTTAAATGATTGTATGGTTGGTTCCATTGTTGTTACATTAAGTACTTATTTTAACTGTTGGTGTAGAGCTAAAATAGAAATAATCACTGATAGTATCAGTGCTAAATGTTATCTATTAGACTTTGGTGAATATGAAGATTGTACTGAATTCTATAAGCCAACAGAATTCCTTTGCATGTGCCCTCCATTGGTAAGACGCTGTTCATTATATGCTCCAAAGTTGGCTGGCCAAGAAAATGAAATTTGGTTTCCCAATATTAATGACATGTTTAAAGACATTACATCAATTGATGGTGTTAAGTTTAATATGGTTATAAAAACCCAGGGAGATCCTTGTGTGGTATCTTTGCAGCTAGAAGATTCTGACGTTGGTGAAATGATGTATCCTTTATATGTCCAATTAACACATGTTAAATCTTTTACCGATTTCAAAATAAAAGCAATATCTACCGATCAGAAATGTATGAACCAACTGTTGGAAAGGTATATGGATACAGCAGATATGTTGGAGGTGCAAAACCCTATAGTTGGCGAGTTGTATCTCACTAAAATCAATTCAAAATATGTACGTGTGAAGTTGGAATCATTTAGTGATTGTAAGTATTTAGTCGTTGACATAGATGATACTTTGGATATGTTGTCTGTAGCAAATTTATATGAACTACCAGAAAGTATAAGCAAAATTCCGATGTTATGCATGACCTGTTCCTTGATTCTTGATGGCAAAAAAGAAAATTATAGTTTGAGTAACTTCCAAAAGTTGGCAAACCCCAATGTTACATTTGTTATGTGCATCATTACTGAGAATGATGGTACATCACCAAATCAAGTTAAACTTTATATTGACAACAAAGACGTTCTTGATCTTATAAGACTACAATAAATTAAGTGTTCATAAATTAGATTTTTAAGTACAACATCTTTTAGTGTTTAATTTATTTCTACAAAATATAAGGAAGTTATAATTATTATGTTTTATAATTTTACATGTTCTATGAATCAAATTGTTATACTTATATTAATTTATAAAAGGAATTTATAAAATTTGTAATTTGGGTTTTCATTTTTAACTTATGAGTTATAGCTGTAGAACATTAATTTGATCCATGTAGTCACCTGAAGAACTTCATTCAATTTAAATGTTGAGAACCCATGGGGGTTAAGTGTTAGTCTCCACCAGAAGATTTGATTGTTTAACATGAATTGTTCAATATGTTTTTTAATGAGAGCCAGTACATACAATTTTACATTTTTGTCAATGTTTAATAAAAAATATTTAAACAATGGTTTATCATTTAAAGTTGATAATTCTTATTATGTAAGGAAGTTATTTTTGATTCGTAATTAATGATTCGTAACTATGATTGTTTTGAACAGTTAGTAAAAAGTAATAAAAAACTGTTGGGCCTGTCCGGGATTTGAACCCGGGACCTCCTGCACCCAAAGCAGGAATCATACCCCTAGACCAACAGGCCACATGAAAGTGAAATGAAAAATACTTTCATTTAAAAATATAGATTCAGTTTTAGAACAAAACTAATTTAAGGAGCGCAGTTTAGTCAATTTCTAATACATTTATTATTTATTATTCGTCCCAATGTTGGATACATCAGTAGTTGCCGGTGTCGACCACCGCGTTACCTTAACTGTTTTAAAATGTAATTTTTGCTGCAACACAATATGCATGTTGAAAATAATAAAAATATGCTACATTTTTACATTACGATATCGTCGATGATTTCTAAAATGTGGTAAATACAATAATCAAGTACAACTCCATTTATAGATTGATGTGATAAAGAAATMTCGCGTTTCAAGCATTACGTGTAAGTATATATATATAATAACATATAACTATATGTCTATATATATTTGGCAGAATTATTGTATATTGCTATTATTCACTAATTAGGAGATGTTATTCATATATATAAGTATTATTTGATGATAAACTGAGTATTTATAATAACATAATAGATGTACGTGCTTATTGCTCGCTCGTATTTAACAATCCGTGTATAGAAATAATATATCATTTCTATAAAATGTTTTTATTTTGCCAACGTACCTATAATATATTTATATGATGTTTGGCCGACACACCTATATATCATATTTGTATGTAAAAATATTTGACACGGCCGTATTATGACTTGGGTCCATATATATAAACGCACGCGCTTCATTTAAACTAACTCAAGGTAATTTTCTATCGGTCCGAAATGCGACCGCTAATCATTCAAGTTTCAGCGTCCATCGCAATAAACTGATAAATGTTTATATAATAATTAATATGTTATTGTTGGGTGCTATATGCTATACCTATCTATAGAGCCTAATTAATTAAAAAAATAAAGGCCCTGTAAATTATTTACTTCGGGGCCATTTAAAAAAAAAAAATTGGAAACGTGATGTTCGATGTTTTATGGAAACTTTGATGATCTAATCCATAAATCAACATTTTTTCAATAGGTCTCATGCTGAACGAATGCCAGTAAATTTTGATATTGAGCGAAGCGATAAATGTATTGATTTTTAAAATGACGTGTGTCATTTTTCATGTCAGCCTTTTGTAGGAGCATTAAAAATGTTTTAGTTTTCAACTTGAGTATATTTTCTAGCTGTGAAGTGAATCTAAAAGCGTAACTGGTTGGTAATTCGGGGCCTCGATGGTCATAAGTAAAATATTCTCTGTACTACGAGTAAATAACAAGAAGGAAAAATCGATATTATTAGATACCTATATATCTTACAAATTCATTTTTCCGTGGACTATTTTTATTCTTAATACACAAAGTTGAATACTTAACTAAAAAAAATATACTTGTACGAATTTTGATTATGATACGTGAAAGTAATAAAAAAAAATGATCCACTATTAATGATTTAGGCTCACTAGAAAAGGAGGTTTCTTATTTGAAAAACAGAAGTTTGTATATCCACACTCTGGTACTCTTTTAAAGTAGTACAAAAAAATTAAAAATATGGTCATCAGTTAATAGTACCTATATTTAAAATTTCCAAAAATCAAATTTTGAAAGTCTACATTATTGAAAAAATAAGGGTGAGCATGCTCGGTGAATCGCTCTGTATATAGTTGAAAGTTTAGTGTTTAGGTATTTAAACGTACGATAGGTATATAAACATATATTATACATTTAACCGTCCCATACACAGTTAATTAAGTTCATAATATACTCTTTATCACCTTATCAGTTATCTATTCTTTAACTTTTTACTATTTATACAATTATATTACCATACATTGTTTTTTCAAGTCTACTTTATATCGAGCGTATTCAACCTTTATATATTTTGTGACAATAGAAATAAAGATATTTACTCTTTATAGTTATATTCTTTATTAGACTGTTCTATAGCTAGTCTAAATGTTAAATATGAACTGCAGTAAATTGTAAACCCTACGTTATACGTCCCTACAATCATTGGTTGTGCGTAGACCATCATTCTATATCCTATAGGACAGTTTTATTGAGAAGGAGGTTATTTGTTTACATAATTTTTATTAGTACATATTAGGTATAACCGTATGACCGGTCAAATAAATCACATTTTCTCGTAGCTTCTGAGTTCATGGGTCTTCTGATGATGACTCTTCGCTATCCGTTTGGAAAATGTCCTGAGAGAGTCGAGGTCGTAGACGTCTGCAGTTTAGTGTTTTTTTTTTCCTTGGTTGTATAGTGACGGGCTCCGTCCGAATTTTTTTAATTGTTGTGAAAGTTTTGAAATTGCGTCTTTATCCATTTGTTATTAATGAAGGGTATACCCGTATCATTGTGAGTTTGGCTGTTTCTCACAAACCATCGTCATTGTTAAGATCTGTGAGACTGCGTATATATACCAACATATTTTTGATCGGCCAGCCTGCCTCTGGCTATATAGCGCGTGAATCGGCCGACGGTGGTAATTACTTAGTTGGTACTATTGTATATCCGCTGGACGCAAGGGCGCACTCAAGGGGGTGGCTAACGGGCTCTAGCCCCCCCCCCCAAATGGCTGGCCCCAAACATTTTGATAATTTTATTAGGTTTATTGACAATTGACATTTGACATTTGACTTTAAATTATTATAAAAAAAAATTTCCAACTATCGAAATTGAGACATTAGGTATAACATAATATTATATTATATTTCTACCTGTCATTTCGGGCCCCGGGTGAGACCTCTGTTGTCTATTATTATCGTCACGACTTTATAATTTAAAAGGTTAAATTTATAAAAAAAACAATCACTATATTATTCATAATTTAATTAATAGGTAATACCTATTTATGTGATACAGGTATAAATCACCGCTACGGCACGACTTAAAACCGGAACAAAAAAACAAAATTAGTTAGTAAAATATTGTTAACAGCTTTAAGATTTCTGTACATATTTCAAAATAAATACTACCTATTAATATTAAAATTATTTGAATTTAGCCCCCCCCCCCCCCAAAAAAAAAAAAAAAAAAATCCTGGGTGCGCCCCTGGCTGGACGGTGCAAGCAGCGACCCAATCAAATCTGCAAGTTGAATGTGACCGAAGTGTCGCTCCGTGTGATGCTGCAGGACGTCGCGATAATATGTTTGTGTACGTTGGCGCCGTTCGCTGGCCCGGGTCCATATCGCGTGATTTCTCCATTCATGTCTGGCCTGCAGCAATACCGCAATTTGATGAGACGAACGGTAGCGCGGAAACCGCCGCGGACTTGACCGTGTATAGTACTATAACGATGAGTAGAAAACTGTGCGCACTGCCCGCGGAACAATTCGGTAATACTGCACGCCGTTCTGCAGTGAGGCGCGCGCTTGCAGCGACAACAAACTTGTTGTAATAGCAATAAATATTATTATCAGCAATAATATTATGTACTGGAGCTGCGGATGGTTAGCTGGGTGATTGGTGATTGCCCACAGTCCGGTAGCGTTGTCGTCTCGGCGATTTCAAGTGTCGACTGCGGAGCGTCGTTGACGGTGATGTTGTCCTCGTGCCCGCAAAATGTGTTCGACGTTTCAGTGTATATGAATTGATACAGAAACGAAATATTTTGTCGTCGGTAGATGATCTTTTCTGCCTCGATAGTGTAAACATATTGTGTAGGTGCAGAGCGGATTGTGGTCCATTCATAATAGTGTCGCGCGTGAGACGCTCTTCGATGTATAATGCGGACAAATAATGCTCTGCAAATACGCGGCGAGAATGTTCCATGCGTCATCTTATTTACTTTGTTCGGCGGTAGATAATCTTTTCGAGAAAAACCCCGCGGCTGCCACTGACCGCTGACGTTCTGTTCGAGGACGGCTCCCACGGCGATATTTGTCACGGCGTCGTTGGTGCAGCTTAGTCGTACTCGTATAGCATTATGGCACGCGGGCTCAGCTAGGTATAATAGTCAGGCGCGATAATCGCGCTGTATTTGTCGAAATTGACTTGCGCGGTGTCGCGGTGACCGTCCTGTTTGTTGATCTTGGCTGCCGACATCATATTACAGCGGAGCTTGTATATATTAGTTCGCAGGCCGTGTTGGGAATACAACGATGATAGGAGTTCAGTGAACCAATAAAAAGCGTTGAATTTGTGTATTTAATTTGAAAACAAAATTATAGGCTTACAAAGTTACAATTAATCATAAAATAATGAAGGCCGTGGGGCTCTGGACATGTGCAGCTGCGCCTTCTGCTCTGCCCTTTCGCTGCCGCTGATTTACGTTAAGTTTTTATTTTTATTATTTTTAAATAATGAATAACATGATTGATTTTATTTTCCTAAAACGAACACCCGGATAACTGTATTTTATTTATATTTTTTATAAATTATAATGAATATTTAGTTGTGGAGATCCCCTGAAAATATTTTATACTGTGGATCTCATTATCGATAAAAATAGTTTTAAATGTTGATTAGACATTAGTGAAAAATTTCAATATATAAATATTATAGTTTGTAT